TAGATAGAGAGAAGAGATGGAGAAGAGGTGAGAAAATGCTTGTGTCCAGGGTGCTCAGGTGTGGGTAGGACTGGTCCTGGGTTCAGCACGTAGACCCTTTTGTCCGGAGCTTTGACTAATGGTCATGGAAGGAAGGAAATAAGCATTTATTAAACACCTACTATGTGTCTAGCCAAGCACTGAGCTAAGTGCTTCACAAATATCTCATTTGATCTTCACAACAACCCCAGAGGTAGGTACTGTTATTATGCCCATTTCACAAATAAGGAAAGTGAGGCCCAGAGATGTTAAGTGACTTGCTCAGAATCACACTTCTACTAAGTATATGAGGATTTGAATTCAGGTCCTAGCTCTGCCTTAGAGAGCCAACCAAAACGACCCAACAATCCTTCTCTGCGAAAACCCTTAAATGCTGCCTACTATCTCATCTCTCCTAGGGGGTGAGGTTGTGAGGAGGAAATAAGCCTTTATATAAATGCCTACTATGTTAAGGCTGTATAAATATGATCGCATTTGATCTTCACCACAGCTCTAGGAAGCAGGGGCTATTATTATCTCCATTTTATAGTTGAGGAATCTCAAGCAAACAGGTTAAGTGACTTGCCCAGGGTCACATAGTAGTAAGTATCTGAGACTGAATTTGAACTCAGGTCTATCCAGGCTCTAGGCCCAGTGCTCTATCCATTATGCCACATAACTGTCTCTTCTCTAGGCTAAACTCCTAATTTCTAATATGGTTCAGCATATGTCATGAACTCAAGATCCTTCTCCATCCTGACTTTGGACACACTGTTCTTAAAATGGGTGGCATGGTGTTTCAGATGCTGTTTGAGGAGCGCAGTAGGTTAGGCTCATTGCCTTCCTGGTCCTGTACATTATACTTCTCATAACGTCACACCACCTTTCACTTCTGGGCTGTTATATCACATTATTGACTCATATTGAGCAGGCGATTCACTGAGGCCCCCAGATCTCTTTTGGGAGAACTTCTATCTATCTGGTTTTTCTCCATTTTTTCTTATAAACCTGATTTTTTGAACCCAAATGTAAGACTTCCTACTTACCCCTATCAAATTCATTTTATGAGATTTGGACCAATCTTCTAGTCTGCAAATGCCTTTTGGAATCCTGACTCTATTTTCCAATATTTATTTCTACATATATTAAGATCTCTCATATGGCGATACTAATAGCTGCCCTCTGACTTTCGTGTCATCTTGAAGTTTAATAGGCATTCTGCATATATTTTCATCTATATCACAGGTAAAAATGCTAAACAGCAGATCACTGAGGCAGTCCATTCAAGACCCTTTCCCAAGATGACATTGAATGATCGAGCACTATTCTTCAGGTCTGGCCATTCAACTAACCCCAAATCCACCTGGGTATACTGTCATGTAGCCCACCATCTTTTCTATTAGAATAACATGAGAGACATTGCCAAATGCCCGTTATTGACAGAGAGACAGACAGATAGGTAGACACATATGTAGATAGATAGATAGACATACTATAAAAACTATATGTACAACAGTCTTCTCATCTGCTGGTCTAGTGAACCTGTCACAAAATGGGCTTAAGAGACTAGTGTGACCGACTCTTCTGGTTTTTAATCCCCTACATCTGCCTGTCAAAGGATTTCATTGATGGGGCACTGAAGTGGTACAATGGATAGAACATAGGCCTGAAAGTCAGGAAGACTTGAGTTCAAATCTGGCCTCAGACTCTTATTAGTTGTCTATTCCTGGTCAAGTCACTTAACCTGTATCTGCTTCTGTTTCCTCATCTGTAAAATGGGGAAAATAATGGCACCTACCTCATAGGGATGTTATGAGGATCAAATGTGATAGAGTATTTTGCAAACCTTAAAGCACTATGTAAATACTAGCTATTGGTATTATTATATAAGAGATCTTAAAACATGTAGAAATGAACAAAAGCACTGAGTGAATATTAATGTTTATTTTACCTATAAAGATAGCCTTCTTAAAGCATGCTTTAAGCTTACTTTGGAAGTTAAGAATTAAGAAAACAAAAGACAACTTTGATGGTATTTTTGTCTTTTTCTTTGTTGATATTTGTTACCCCCAGACTTCAGTCTATGTAGATAAGAAACATCTCATAGATCCCAACCCAGATTCACAGGGGCAGGACTGGATCTCTGCAGTGAACAATGAATTTATGCAGTATGGAGTAAGCTAGAGCTAGACTCTTCTCCATTGTCCTTCATCTCCTCAGCCAATTGTAATGCTCTAAGACCCCAGATCAGAGATTTGGAAGTGGAAACAAATGACAACCACTTCTCTACAAACTGACTGTTCCCCTAGAATCTCTAGAAAGTGAAAAAACTAAAGCCTCGCTTGCACATGCCAAAAATGGGATTCTTCTTACATAGAGAAATAAAAATGGGAAGTCATTATTCTATTACCATACTATGAACTGGGTCCACATATTATGTTTCCTGGGGGCAGAGTCACCAGCAGGGATAGGATTGGGGAATTCCATGAATCAGGTAAGAAAGCACTGAGAGAACCTTTGCTTGTGGGTGGGTTAGATGATGGTAACTGATAATGAAGAGAAGACAGATGTTAAGTTCTTAATTGGTTTCTGTTTTCTCCACCATGAAGGATAACCTTTATATTGGAAGTGACATGGCAGAAATGACTAACAGGGAGCTGATACCCAAGACACATAAGGATATAGTAAGAGGACACCTCACTCCTCTTGGTGAATTCAAGTCAACAAGCCCAGATGAGCTGTACCCTTAGATACTAAACAATCTGGCAGATGTGATGGCTGAGCTGCTTTTAATGATATCTGAAAGAACACAGAAAATGGGAGAAGTAGCATGAAATAAGAGAAGGACAAATACTGCAAATTTCAAAAAACCAAAAGAAATCCAAATCTCTCAACTATAGGCCATCAATATGACTGTGATGTCTGGCAAAAGTCTAAGCCAGATCATGAAAAGGATTGTTGGCAACACTTAGAAAGGGAAGCAGTGATTGCAAAAACCTAGCATGGCTTCATCAATAACAGGTCATGCCAAGATATGCTGTACTAGTACAGGAATACTAGTAGATAAATAGAATACTGTGGAGATAATCTATCTAGATTTTAGCAAAGCTTTTGATAAAGTGTCTCTTACTATTCCTTTGGACATGATGGAGAGCAATGGATTAGTCAATAATACAATCAGATGTATTCAGAACTGGGTTGATGGACAGACTCAAAGAGTAGTAGCTAATGGTTCTGTGTGAATGTGGCAGGATGTCTCCAGGGGAGGATCTGTTCTTAGTCTTGTACCATTAAACATTTGTATCAGTGGCTTGGATGAAGATATAAGTGGTATGCTCACTGAATTTGAAGATAACACAAAGTTGGGAGAGAGAGAGCTAACAGAGTGGATGACAGAGTCAGGACCTAAAAGGATCTTGACAAACTAGAGTATTAGGTTGACTCAAGCAAGATGAAATTCAATGGAGATAAATGTAGTCTCGCATTTGAGAAGAGAAAGACAGCCCCAAGATGGAGAAAGAATAGGTAGACAGTTGTTCTGCAAAATCTCTTGGAGTTTTAAAAGACTGCAAGCTCAACATGAATTGGAAGTGTGATGTGACACTCAAAAAAGCTAACGTGATTTGGACTGAATTAAGAAGAGCAAACCATTATGAAAAAGTCACTCAACTGTTCTTTGTATCCTTTGACCCAGTAATACACCTACTAAGTCTATATGCCAAAGAGAACAAAGAAAGAAGAAAAGGACCCATTTGTATAAAAATATTTATAGTAGCAAAACAAAACCCCTGAGATTATTGTGGGAGTGCATATCTATTGGAGAATGACTAAATAAATTATGGTATATGAATATAAAGGAATATTATTGTATCAAAAGAAATGGTGAAATGGACCATCTCAGAGGAAACTGTGAAAGACCTCTAGGAACTGGTGCAGAATAAAGTGGGCAGAAGCAGGAGAACAATTTATACGATGCCAACATTATTTAAAAAAAAAACTTCGAAAGATTTTAGAACTCTGATCAATGCAATGAGAAGCTGCACATTTGAAGGACTGAAGATGAAGCATGACACCCACCTCCCGCCAGACAGGTGATGGACTTAAAATGCAGAATGAGATACATTTGTGGATGTTACCAAATGAGAGAATGGATTTAGCTAGACTATGTATGCGTACTTGTTATAAGGGTTTTCTTTTTCTTTTTAAATTGTTCCATTGGAATGGGTAGGGGGGAGTGGGAGGGAGAGAAATTAAATGCTATACAACATCGATGGAGAGAAGAGACCATCATTACTCCATGAAAGTAGAAGTTTCCCAAAGGTGGATATTGTGTTATCTTCTCTCCTCTGTATCACCTTCAAAGAGTTTGGTGTAATCAAACGAGCACTGAATCTGGATTCAGAAGATCTGGGTTTGAATCCTAGTTCTGCTACTCAAATACTGGTTTGACATTAGCAGAATCAAATTCCCTCTATTGGTTTCAGTTTCCTCACATATAAAATTAGAGGGTAAGATAGATGATCTCTGAAGTGCTTCTACTTTTAAATTCTATGACCTAAAGGTTATTCAAACTTTGACATCTCTCAGAGTTTCCTAGATTTAGAGCTGGAAGTGACCTCAGAGGTCACTGATTTTATAAATGAGGAGACTGAGGCCAAAGAGGTTAAGTGACTTGCCTAAGGTCACACAGATAGTAAGTGGCAGAGTAAGTACTTGAACCTGAGTTGCTTAATTCCATCCTAAGATCCACTGCTCAGTGTTTCTGACTCCAGGAGCAAAGTTCAATGACTCCCCCAGCTCTTACATGATAGACTCTCTTCTATCTAACTATAATCCCTCTTGCTGCCTATTAGACCCCTTTTTCTTTGGTAGAGAAGTAAGACCTACTTGCTGCTCTCTTTTGATAACTGTTTCTCCCATCCTAAATCCTATATGGGCAGGGTGAAGATGGGGAGGTAGGGTCTAGAAAGACACATACCTACCCTCGTGATAATATCTCTGAAGAAAGGAAGCTGTAACCAAAAAGTCAATATCATCAGGTAGAAATGGATCCCAGGAAACTGAAGAAAAACTAGTGCCTTCAGTATAGAAGTTGCTGAAGGCTCCAGCAGCCAGAATGCCATGAGAGTGGAAGCCAGCAATATAGTTCCGGATTGGGTCTAACTCCACTGTCTTAATGAGCTGAGGAGACACCAACCATTTGAGCAATTAGCACTTTCCCTCCTCATGGCTTCATAAACTTCACTTTGCAGTATTCCCCAGCAATGGCTGGTAAACCCCACTTTAAGAATATCTGACATATGAAAATCTAAACTTGGAAAACATCATTGAAGAGACCATTATCAACACCAGGATAAGCAGGAATTATAACACCAGTGGCTTAGATTTATATATTTAGTTATGGGACAGATATTTATTTCCTATACACAAAATGAATGTTAAAAGAACAAGACAAGAAATCAGAATTCACTCCAGTTTTGCACTATAAAAACAGCTCTGTTCCATGTCTTCTGCCAATCCAGACCAAGACTAGGGCCCATCCTGTTACTATTCACTCACTCTAATAAGGAAACGTCCTTTGCCACATATAGCTCTGACAGTTGAAGGACTTTTGGAACTTACAGGTAACCTTCAAGCCTTTCGGGGTTTTTCGGGACTCTTCTATTTAGATTTCAATAATACCTACTCAGCCTAGGCCTTTTTTTTTTCTTGTCAGAAATGCTTGAATGTTCTGTATTTTACTAATGATCCATTTTCTCCTGTGGGATTATATTCAGCTTTGCAGGGTAAATTATTTCTGGTTATAAGCCTAAGACTTTTACTTTTTGGAATATTATATTCCAAGATCTCCTCTAGTTTATTGTAGAAGTACCAGGTCTTGTTTGACCCTGACTATAGTTGAACTGCTTATTTCTTCATACTTGAATTGCTTATTTCTGAGTAACTACAGTTACCCATTTTTTTCTTTGAAATGAGAATGCTGAATTTTGGTTAAGATATTCCTTGGACTTTTCTTTTTGGGGTTTCTTTCAGAAGGGGGTTGACAGGTTCTTTCTCTACTTTGCCCTCTGGTTCTAATAGATTTAGGTAATTTTCATTTATGATTTCTTGAAATAAATTTCTAGGATTTTAAAACCATGGTTTTAAGTAATGATACCTAAGTTATGTCTCCTTGATCTGTTTCCAGGTCAGTTGTTTTTGAAATCAAATATCTTAGATTTTCTATTATTTTTTCAGGCTTTCTAGTTTGTACTAATATTACTTACTGTCTCATGGAATTATTGGTTTGTTTAATCTCTTCCAGTATTCAGAAATCTATTTCTTGAGTAAGTTTACCACTCTCTTATGTTATTTATTCTCCTAATAGTTTTTCCCATAATTCATAGGTACAACCAGCTAGCTGTTCATTATTCAAATCAACTTTTCTCTTCAAGGTCCCTGATTTCAATCAACAACAATGATGACAATACCTCCCATGTCCCTACAGTTTTCTTGCCTACAAGTTTATAATCCCAGCACTGTTCTCTAAATTCCTTTTGATGATATCATCTATCATAATACAATGGTTTCCAGGTTTGACAAGTTCCACAAAGCTCTCTTAGAGCCCATATCCCCATTCCCAAGAAGGGTTGCTATGTGAAGATGGATTAGACTTGTTTACTTCTACTCAGAAGGAAGAACTAGGAGGAATAAACAGAAGTCAAAGAGAGGTCAATTTTTGATCCATATAAAGAAAACTTCCTAACAATTATAGCTGTTCAAATGTGAAAAGGGCTGCCTTAAGGTAAGTGAATTTCCATCACTGGTTATCTTCAAGCAGAGGCTAGATGACCATTTCCAGCCTCTGGGGTGGAACAGAAAGGTTGTTATGGAAGGGACTCTCACTATAATACAGATTAAACCAGACACCTCTGAGATTGATTCAGAGTCCAGGGTTCCTTGATTCTATGGGAATTTTCCTAAAATCCCTACCAATCCTTTAAAGAACTCAAATACCATCTCCTTCAAGAGTCCTCTGGTTCCTACTCTCCCTGTCCCCTCCACTTTTACCCCACCTGGCAATTTACACCCCCTTCCCCCCAACTTCACCAGAGCACTTGATTTTTACCTGAGGGAACTAGATTGCATGGCAGACAACTGGCTGGATTTGCAACCAGGAATCAGAGTCCAAATTCTACCTCAGAAACTTATTAGCTGTGTGACACTATCACTTAAATTGCTTTCTGCCTCAGTTTCCTCATCTGTAAAGTGGGCATAATAATAATAGCATCTATCTTACAGAATTGTTGTGAAGATCCAATGAGATAACATATACAAAGCCCTTTGCAAATCTTAAAGTGTTATAAAAATGCCGCTTATTGTTATTATTACTTCTATTAATGCACTTCTCATGTAACTTTGTAAATATGTTTGTTTGCATATATCTATCTTGGTACTAGGCTGTAGGGTCTATGAGGGTCAGTTTCCTTTTTCAGCTCTATCACTCCAACCTATCAAAATAAATGGGACGCATCCAAAACAGTCCTCAGATGAATATTTATAGCTGTAAAACCACATATTAACAAAATAAGAGGAAAATACATCAATGAATTTTGCATGAAATTTTTAAATGAGGAAAGAAACTAAGTAATCTCAAAACATTGGAAGAATTCTTAAAAATTAGAGAAGAAATAGATAAAATTGAAAACAGAAATATTATGAAACTTATGAACAAAGCAAGATCTGTTTTTTTTTAAAAAGATTACCCAAACCAATAAACCATTCACTAATTTGATAAACTCTATCTCCCCTAGCCTAGCACAGTGCTCTAAACACAGTAAGTCTTTAATAAACATTCATTGAACTAAATGTTGTTGAATTGCAGAGTGTCCAGGTTGGTGCTCTGTCCCCCAGCTTCACCTATGAGCTCAGGGGACTCTTTGTCCCTCTACTGCAGTCCCATTTGGGGCACTGGGGTAGGTGGGAGAAAGCTGAGGGCAGGAGAGAAGCATGAATAAGCCAGGCTGAATTGTCAACAGCTCTGACAAATGTCCAGCCCAGTGTGTAAGGAATGCTATGAAAAGACCAGAGTAATGAGCTGTCCTCCACTGACCAGGAGCTAAACCTTGTTGATTTTGTCTGTCCTCTGAGATAGGGGAGGGACAAAGGGGAGTTGAGGTTGAGGAATGAAACCAGTTGGCTTAGATGATTAAAGTAGCTGCTATTTTTATCACTGACCCTCATTTTTTTGAGATGATAGCATTTGACAGAAGTCAGTAGACTAAAGTTTTGTAGAATTAGAGCTGGAAGTTCACCTAATCCATTCACACTCATGTTTACAAAGGACACAGCTAAGCCTCAGAGAGGGGATAGGACTTACCCACGGTCACATAACTAATAATGGCAGAGTGGGATCTGAAGCTAACTCTGCTGGCTTGGCTCAGTGCTGTCGTCTTTTGACCTTACCACTGATGGGCTTGAGCAAGGCAAGGGCTTTCATTTCTCAGCTATGAAAAGGGCTTAGCCTCCTTGCCTCCTTGTTGTGAGGATCAACTAAGATAACGTAGTTAAGAGTTCTTTGTAAAGTATAAAATGCTGTAAATAACAGTAATATAAGCATTTATGCTAGAGAAGAGAAACCTTAGGAGCCTCTGGAGTTAGCTATCTTCAAGCATTTTGAAGGGATGTCAGGTGGAAGAGGGATTAGATGGCAGGCAGGGATGGAGGCAAGCAGCAGAGCAGACCCAAAGCAGGAGATGAGACCAGAAGAGAGGGACAGACAGGGCAAGACTAGTGCCCAGGCAACTCACATGCAGGTGGTCCCTCCTAAGCCACAGCAACAGAAAGGGCCACAAGAAAGGGCACTCAGGCAGCTCAGTGCCCAGGCAGAGTGGCCTAAAGCACAGCAGGAGAGAGATGCTGTGTGGTCAGCCAGTCAATAAACACTTATTAATACATGTGCCAAGCTCTGTGTTAAGTGCTGGAGATATTTGCACATTGTGTCCCCCAACTCCCATTAGATTGTAAGCTCCTTGAGGGCAAGGACTGTCTTTTGTCTCTTTTTATACCCCCAGTATTTAGCACAGTGCCTGGCACTTAGTAGGCAGTTAATAAATGTTTATTGAATGAATGAAAAAAAATTTAAAAATACTATCAAAAGAAAGACAGCCCCTGACCTTAAAGAGCTTACAATTTATGGGAGAGACAACATGCGAACAAATATGGTCGGACAAGCTATACACAGGAGAAATAGGAAATTATTCATAGAAAGAGGGCACTAGAATTAAGAGTGATTGGGAAAGGGATGTAGATGGGATTTTAGTTAGAACCTGAAGAAAGCCAGAAGGTAGAGATGAGGAGAGAAAGCATTCCAGGCATGGGGGTCAGCAGAGAAGATGCCCTGGAGCCAAGAGATGGAGTGTCTTGTTCATGGAACAGCCAGGAGGCCAGTGCCACTAGATCAAAGAGTGTGGTGAGGACTAAGGTGTAGGAAGACTGGAAGAAGAGGATAGGACTGGTGATGAAGGGCTTTGAATGCCAAATAGAGGATCTCATATTTGATCCTCGAAGTAATAGGGAGCCATTGGAGGTGTGTGTGTGTGTGTGTGTGTGTGTGTGTGTGCATGTGTGTTTTGTGTGACATGGTCAGACCTTCCTTTTAGGAAAATCACTTTGGTGGCTAAATGGAGGGTGGATTGGAGTGGTGAGTGACTTGTAGCAGGCAGGCCCCCTAGCAGGCTATTGCAATAGTCCAGGCATGAGGTGATGAGGGCCTGCCCCAAAGTGGTGGAAGTGTCAGAGGAGAATAGGGCGTATATTTGATATATATTGCAAAGGTGAAATTGGCAGGCCTTGGCAACAAATTCAATGTGGGGGGTGGGAGATAGTGAGCCTTGAAGGACGGGAGGATGGTGTTACTCTCTATAGTCATAGAGAAGACAAGAGATAGGAGGAGGGTCTGGAGGGAAAGATAAGGAGTTCGGTTTTGGACATGGTGAGTTTAAGACGTCTACTGGACATCCAGTTTGAGGTATCTGAAAGGCAGTTAGAGGTGAGATATTGGAGGTCAGCAGAGAGGTCGAGGCAGGATAGGCAGATTTGAGAATCATCAGCACAGACATGGGAGCTGATGAGATCACCAAGTGAAGTGGTACAGAGGGAGAAGAGAAGAGGGCCCAGGACAGAACCTTGTGGGATCCCCA